TTTCCTACTGCCAGTCTGCTCTGATCTGCCAGGCTTTTGTCCCCCTGTCATGCTTTACAGCAACCCCAGAGGTCATCCCATACCAACACAGGAAGTTTCTGCCCAGAGATCCCCGGAGCGATTCCCCCTTCAACCCAGGCGATTCCTGCCCTTTTAACCCAGGCCTGGGCAGGGGTGCCCCTCTTTGGACCTCTGGGGGAGGTGTACCCCAACTCTGCACCAGGGACTGCCCTGACCTGAGGCAGAGGATTGCTGCCTCCCTACTCTGACCCTGTCCTGATGCCTCAGGGACACTCCCAGGGCTGCCTCTGCCCCTCTCTAACTGGTTTCTGCTCTCTACTCCGTGACAGGAATCCCAGGGACTGCCACATCCCTAGGCCCAGGGAATTTTTCCTGCCCCCACCCCACCCTTGTTCCCCACTCTATTCCTCCCATAGGCATCTTGAAGAACCGATTGCAGTACCCATTGGTGCCACAGACCCGAGGTGCTCCTGAGCTGTCCTGGTGCCGTGCAGCCACCTTGGGCCACCGTGCTGTGCCAGCTGCTTCTTATGGTCGCATCTATGCTGGTGGGGGCACAGGTAGCCTTTCGCAGCCAGCTAGTCGCTACTCTTCTCGAGAACAGCTGGATGTACTCTTGAGGAGGCAGCTGAGCCGAGAGCAGCTGGAGGAGCTCCCTGTCCCCGTTCTGCACCCCCTGAGCCGGCCAGGGTCCCAGGAATACCTGGACACTGCACCAGGCCACCCAGAGCCCAGAGATCGGGGCAGCACCCTGCCACGGAGGCAGCCACCCCGGGACTACCCTAGTGTCATGGCTGGCCGCTTTGGGTCTCGGGATGCGCTGGACTTAGGGGCACCCCGAGAGTGGCTGAACACACTGCCTCCTGTCCGCCGTACCCGGGACCTTGACCCCCAGCACCCACCTCTGCCCCTGCCTCCCCAGCAGCAGCTCTCAAGGGACCCCCTCCTGCCATCCCGACCCCTGGACCCTCTGTCTAGGAGCTCGAACTCTCGGGAGCGGCTGGACCAGGGGCCTAGTCAGCACCCCTCACGAGAGGCCCTCGGACCACCCCTGCCGCTCCTCAGAGCAAGGGAGGACCCTGCCAGTGGCCCCAGCCATGGCCCCTCCACAGAGCAACTGGACATTCTCTCCTCCATCCTTGCCTCGTTCAACTCCTCAGCCCTGTCCTCAAGCACACCCTCCGGCCCTCACACCACTGCCACGCCTTCTGCCACTGCCTCTGCGCTTGGGCCCTCCACGCCTCACTCCGCCACGTCTCACAGCATCTCAGAGCTGTCACCGGATTCAGAGTAAGCATGGTCTGGCCACTGTGCTATACCTTCATTGGCTTAGAGCACCCTTCTGTGTACCCCACCCCAAATTCCACCACAAGATGGGGTGGGAGTTGGTAAACAGGTGTCAGCTACCTCAGGCTGGTGACAGATCTGGCAGGAAATGGAAATATGACCAGCAGGGACTTGGCAACTGTGACTGGGACCAGCCTCCCTTTCCCACACCTCTTAGACTACGAGGGGAGATAAGTGCTTTCCGAATGGCTGGGCCTAGTGGAGACAGGACAGGAATCAAGTCTTAGAAGTGGGAGGTAACTGGGTATTTGTACGGGGCAGACAGGAGAGGGGAGGCTTTGCTTAGGAGTCTCTGCCTAAGTGGTCATATGGGATACCAGGATATGCCAGGGTGAAGAGCCAACTTTGAGAATAAACCATTCATTGCAGTATTCAGTCAATATTAAGTTCATTCTGCCTGTGGGCAATGTGGGATGGGGCTCAGAGTCACTGAGTTGAGATCTGACACATCCCAGGTACCTGCAGGGGCTCCAGGGGGTAGAGGATAACAGAAACACCCAGAAGTAGCTGCATACACAGGAATCTAAGAAGGAATGCTGGGACTTAGGAGGTCTTGTAACCCAATAGAGTTGCATTCCAGGCAGGAGAAAGGGCTTAGGTCAGACTGGGAGGAGCGGATGTCTGTAGGGTGAGAGGGCTTTGGAGGCAGAGTAGGGGATTAATGGGACTGAGCAAGGACCAGGCTGAGAGGACAAAGGAAGGAAGGAGTGGCAGGAGTTTGGGGTCCTGGGGGAATGGTGAGGGGCAGGGTCCCTGTGCTGCCTAGCCTTGGGGTCTGGCTATGTGGGAGGAGGGCTGGGGGGACTGACCAGGGTTTCATACTTTGGAGTCACACATGGAGTGAGTTTTGTCTGCTACCTCACTAGCTGCATGATTTTGGGCAGGGTACCAGCCTCTGTGCCTCTGTTTCTTCATCTGTAGAAGGGGTCTGTAGTGACAAACTCAGATGTGGAGAGTTGGGAGACATTATCTGTCAAGTGCTTCACAGAGCATCCATACATAGCGGGAGTTTTCTAAGTGCTTAGAGAAAAGACCTCAGAGGCCAAGGGCATTGCTGATGAGTCTGGGACCTAGAGTGGGTGGAGGATTCAGAACCCTGGAGGGGGCTTAGAGGTGGACCAAGCCAGGGCTGGTGGAGAAACCCAGAGCCAGTTGAGTTAGGGTACTCCTGGTGACGACCTTTGACTTCCATATTCAACACTACAGAGTTCCCAGAAGTGAGGGTCACTCCTGAGGGGCGGAAGTACAGACGAGGAGGAACAGCAGGGTGATGGAAGATTTGGGCTAAAAGAAGAAGATATTCCACCAGTCACAGAATGACCCCAGGCCGGCCTCGTGGGAGCCCTCCTCAGCTCTCTGCTGCTGTGAGGAGGTTCCATGCGCATCTGTGAGCATGCATGTGACAGGTGCAGGGGTGGGGACTGAAGGGAGGACTTTTATACCTTTTGTATCTTTGTAACCAGAGAGATATGCTTATGTTATTTTTCAGCTTTTTTGTTGGGTGGGGGAGTCTGAGGCTGGGCTGGGAGGGAGAAGGGGACAGAGGGAGAGAGACGCAGTTTGGCCCCATTTGGGTCACTAGCAAACCATATGTTTTCTCTAATCTTACTACGGTGGAGCCAACAGGTGGGACACATGCCCTCCTTCCTCTGCCCACCCCTAGATTGAGCTGAAGATTGTCAGGGCTCAAAATACAGAATGCATCTTTGCTTTTTCTTGAATGCCTTGCAGAAAGTTGTGGGGTTGTGGGTGGGTCTTGGAAACAGGGGTCCTCCAATCCCTCAAAGAGGCTTGCTCATGCCACCCTTCCCTGTGGACACCTGTGTGTTATGGGGAGTCCCTGCCACTTGCTGCCTTATACCTAGGACTGATGCTGTGGGTGCTGGCGGAGCAGCAGATGTCGTGTTTACAGAACAAGGCTTCCCTTTCTCCCTTGGGGAGGCTTGGGCCTCTATTCAGACCCCCCTGCAGGGGTAGGTGTGTTGGGGGGTTGCTCACCCACCCCTACCTGAGCAAAAGTCTGCGGTGCCATTCGATTCCCTGACACTGCCCCCTGAAGGTAGGCAAGTGGGTGAGCAAAGGGAGCAGAAATAAGGGAATTCAAGACCCCGAATGTAGGTGCCACTGCCCTCCCATGTTTACAGGATCCTCCTTGGCCCTAGGCACCGGGCTGCAGAAGTGACTCATTTCCACTCCTTCATTCCCTTATGAAGGGAGGAATGACTGTTAGGACCCTGTTCACTAAACCCTTACTTTCCTTACTTTGATGTTCAGAACTGGGGACTTTACACTTTTGTTACTTTGTTTACAGGTAGAGATATTTTTAAATGTTATGCTTTGTCTACAACTTAAAACTTTGAACTTTTATAGTTTGTTTACAGTTGAGCATTTTTTCCCTTTGTTTACAAGTGAAAGGTAGGAAAAGTGGGAAAGGGGCTTAGCAGACCCACCTGTGAAGACCTGGCCCTGGCCATCTTGAGGGGTTTCTAACCTCCAGCTCTCCCGGGCTAAAGGTCAGCCCTGAGTCCCCTGTTTAAGAGCAAACCCAGGAGGCCTGAGAGGCAGCATCCTCTTACCTCTGGGAACAGTAGTTGTGTAGGGTGCAGATACCCGCACCCCATGCATACTTTTGGGAGGCAGTTTCCAAGGAGATTAAAAATTCTACTTCATTGACTGGTGCCAAATCCCACCAGCCAGGACTCCAGCTCTCCTTACCCAGAATGACCTCAGCACTTGAAGGGCTGTGGTCAGGAGGGCATTCTTGTTATGTCCTAGGTGCTATAGAAGCCCCTCTCTGGGGTCTCTCCCCAGCCCAGCTGCCCTCTTTCCTGTCTGTATAAATTGTTCCGTGAAGCCGCGCTCTGTTTTGGGAATAAACTTCTATAGAAAACGGATGTTGTCTCTTTCTGTGGAGGTGGTGAAAGGGTGGTGGCTGTGACTGACCTTTGCGAGGAATCTGAGCCCTCTGCTTTCAAGAACGTCCAGTTATTTTTACCCCATTTCACGGGAGATCTAGAGGAGATTCCCCTCTCTTTCACTCTGAAATCTGGCCCCTCACCTTGTGATTGGGTCCAAGATTGGCGCCTGGGTGCTGGGAGCAGGGAGCTGCCCGCCTCCTGGGCCAGCAGCAGCATGCAGACTTGGCCTAGCATTTTCTTCCCAGCTCGGTCGTCAGATCAGCTCCTGGAGCTGCCGCCCTTGCAGCTCTTGCTTTGCCTACGGACCGCACAGACGCCGGGGCTGACCAGTGTTGTTTCTTGTGGCGTGGTGCTGGGTCTTCGTGAGGGAGCAAGACGCTCGACCCTTCATTTCCGGCCTGGGTGGCGAGTTTGGGGAGACCCTTGGGGACTGTCGCGGGTCTCTGGATTCGCATAAGTTAGGGCTGGCTTCTTCTGCGTGCTTCGCGGGAGCCCTCCGCAAAGCCAGGACTAGAACCTGCTCCTTTCCGCTCGGGGGCGCCTAGCGATGCTGCTGCAGCCAGTCCCGAGTGGGTCCCAGGTTCCAATTCTGCAGCCCCGCCCCGCCCCAGCAGAGCACCGAGCGAGTCGCGGGGGTGGGGTTGGGGTGCTAGAGCCCGGCCTCGGGAAGGAAGGGGTTAAGCCTCACTTCCCGGACTCGCCCCGCCTGGAGACCTGACGTAGGCTGGCCTCAGGCCCTGGTTGGTCTGATCGCGCACCCCGGCCCGGAATTGGCCCGGGTCTCTTCTGGCTCCGAGTGGAGCGGCCTCTCGCTGGACCTGCTAGGAGCTGCCGCTGCCAGGCCGCGTGGGCGCTATGGGGCCGTTGGATGGGTGCGAGTGAGTGCGGGCTCCCTGGGCCCGAGTGTCCACCGCTGCGCCCCGGCTTGCAGCCCTGCCGGTTTCCTGCGGGTGGCGGCCCATCTGCGCGGAGGGATGGGGCGGGAGCCGGCCGTGCTGGAGCCCAGACCGGAGGTGTGCAGCTGGGTCCAGAGGTGTACACCCGGGCTGGTGACCGCTGAGGAGAACCTCTGGCCCCGCCCCGTCCCTCTGTGCTTTGGGCCAGAGCGAGAGCCCCGCCCTACAGGCGTGGAGCCTCCCAGGGGGTGGGGCTGAGGGCGAGGCTCCGCCCCCCAAAGCATATCCCGTTTGGAGAGGGAGGGAGTCCTTAAGAAGACCTGAGTGACTCAAGGAGGGAGAGGGGCTCTTAGATCTCCGGGACACCGCGGTGCGGGTGCCGGTGCCGAGAACCTGAGGATCTTCCTCGCTCCTGCTCTGCTCCCCCTCCAGTTGGGACACCCAGGTTAGAGGCTCTTCCCAGGTGAGTGCCTACCCCTCAGATGGAGTCCTCTCCCCCAGCAGAGTTTCTTCCAGACCAGAATTCCCCTGACAGGGGAAAGCTTTCTCAACATACTACAGTTCCTACCCTTCCAGAAGACCCCCACCGTGAGGTCTGCTCCCAGGGGAGGCTTTCTCCCACTCCACCCTCCAGCTCAGCGCTTCCCCCATGTCCTCCCAGAAAAGATCCCTTCCCCTTTCTGTGAATCTCTTGTTCCCAGATGAGGTCTTTCTCCCCTTTTAGAGGGAGACTCTGGGCCATGAGATTCCCCCCAGGTCAGAGATTTTCCTCATCCAACCTTCCTAGATGGTGACGGCTTTCCTGGCAGGTCAGAATTCTTTCTAGGTGAAACTGGTCCTAAAATCTCCTTTTCTCAGGTGAGATTTTTTTGTACTTCAGGTGGGAGCTTCCTACTCTAGGAAAGACCCCCTTCTCCTCAGAGATGCCCTACATGAGAGCCATCCCTCGGCTTTCCCAGACTAGGCCTCAGGTTGTCTGCAACCCAGACTCTGGTGCTGGAAGCCCAGGGTCAAAACTGTCCTTCTCTTAGAGACAGAGAAGGGCATCTGCAAACCTGAGGCTTGGAGAGAGTTGCTTGAAGACCTGGACCTCTGCTTTGTTGGATCCCTTCCCTGAGCATGCTCTCAGCTGGCCAGGCTGGGTTCACAGGGCAACTGGATAAGGATGCAGGGACTGGTTCCAGGAGGGCAAGGGACTAGGAGGAGGGGGCTAGGAGAGGCAGTGAGCCTGGACCTGGACCTGGACCCCGACCGGTACTCGGGCTAGGCAGCCACACCTAGGCTGGATGTATGGGGTTGTGTTCATCCTGCTCTCCCTTCATGAGGGACTTTGGCCTAGAAAGAGGCCTCCACTAGCCAAAGTTCAGGTACTGCCTCTGCCTGGGTGTAAGCATGGAGCTTGCAGGGACCAGCTGGGGGCTAGACAGATCATGATCTTGGGGCCTGGAAAAATCAGGTGTGTGATTCTGGTCCCAGGTGGAAATGTAGGGAAGGTAAGGCAAGGGGTTTCTCACTGTATCTCCTTGGTCTCACTATCCCAGACTGAGGGACACACAGGCACTGCTGTCTACAATACCAACCATGGAGCTTCAGAAACGCGACTATCTTGTAGAACGGCCACTGCTGAACCAGGAGCAGCTGGAGCACCTGGGGCACTGGGGCCCAACACCTAGGACCCATCAATGGCGAACCTGGTTTCAGTAAGGTCGAAGATAGGGCTCTGGGGCTCTGGCGGGGGTAGGTTCCTGCACCACTGACACATCTCCTTCCTCTCCTCAGGTGCTCCCATTCTCGGGCCCATGGCTATCTACTCAAATACCTCCCAGTCTTGGGCTGGTTACCCCACTATCGTGTGCGTGAGTGGCTCCTGGGTGACTTGTTGTCTGGCCTGAGTGTGGCCATCATGCAGCTTCCACAGGGTGAGCTACCTTCAACACCCTAGCCTGGAAGCCCTGTGGCCTGTGAAACCCCAACCTGGAGTCATGACTTCTGATCTTGGAATTATGGCCCCTGGCCCAGGGCTTGGATTTCCTCAACGTTTTGAGACCCTTTTCTCCAAGCCCGCATTGCTCCCATTCCACCTGCAGGCTTGGCCTATGCCCTCCTGGCTGGATTACCCCCTGTGTTTGGCCTCTACAGCTCCTTCTACCCTGTCTTTGTATACTTCCTGTTTGGTACTTCCCGACACATCTCTGTGGGTAAGTGGAGTCAGGCCTATCCTTCCAGGAAGATGCCCATATCTGTCATGGAGCATGGGTGAGGGAGGGCTGAACAGGGCAGAGGCTCATCTCTAGGCAAGACTAGGCCAATGATCTGGGACTGCAGCTTCAGGGTTCTGGAAAGCAGATGTGAGGCAGCTCACAGGGCCCAGAGCTTGGCAGAAGTCTACAAGTATGAGGCATGCCATGACCCATTTCCCATTCCATAAAGAGCCTGTGTTCCTGAGCCAGTGGGCACAGGGGGGCAGGGTAGATGATGTAAGGCCAGCTTTACTAGCCACCCATCAGAGCTGTGAGCTCAGGGTTCACACTGGACCTGGCTGTACCTAGTTGCCAGCACTACCCCCATTTGCACAGCCATAGTCTAAAATTTGTTCAGAACTGGATGCTTGGCCTCTCTTAAGACCAGGGCTGCAGGGTAAGGCAGTGTCCTCTCCAAGTCTCCCCTACCTTGTCCCTGCAGGGACCTTTGCTATCATGTCTGTAATGGTGGGCAGTGTGACAGAATCCATCACTCAGGATGAGGACTTCCAGCAGAACACAAACTCTACTGTCAGTGCCCGTGTGCAGCTGGCCTCCACACTCAGTGTCCTGGTGGGCCTCTTCCAGGTGTGCAGCAGTTAGGAGTGTGTGCCCCCGCCCCATTCCCTGGGTGTCTGTCTGTCACTATCCTCCTACTCTTGCTCCTCGTTTGTCCCCTCTGATCCTGGGTCCTGGGCCATCTCTATAACTCCTACCTTCCTTGACCCCACCACCACCACCACCAGGTGGCACTGGGCCTGGTGCACTTCGGCTTTGTGGTCAACTACCTGTCTGAGCCACTGGTGCGAAGCTACACCACAGCTGCATCTGTGCAGGTCTTCGTCTCACAGCTCAAGTATGTGTTCGGCCTCCAGTTGAGCAGCCGCTCAGGGCCCCTGTCCCTTATCTATGTGAGTGAGTGTGGCAGTGGGTGAGGGAGGTTTGCCCATGATCTTGAGTACTGGCTATGACCCCACCTCTCCTCAGACTTTTCTGGAGGTCTGCTGGAATTTGCCCAAGAGTGTGGTTGGCACCGTGGTCACTGCAGTTGTGGCAGGGGTGGCGCTCGTGATGGTGAAGATATTGAATGACAAGCTGCATCGGCATCTCCCTCTGCCAATACCTGGGGAGCTGCTCACGGTTCGCATGCCAGGGAGTGAGGGAGAGGGGCAAGCGAGGATGAACCCTGACCATGCAGGCGGCCTCCAGATTTTAGAGGGCCAGCTTCTGTGGCCACTGTGAGGACTCCTGGTACTGAGGGGACCACAACAGAAAGCTCTCATTTGACTTCTTCCCATTCAACAGCATCTTTCCCCAGATGGTAGTGCCTCTCTCCTCACCCCTTGGAAGGTTTTGCCTCAGTCTCTTCCTCTTCTCCCCTAGAATGGTTTATCTGTCTCCTTGATGATAATGCTGGAAACTCCCTCTCCTGACTCTGTCCTCTTCCCACAGCTCATTGCAGCCACAGGCATCTCCTATGGTGTGAACCTGAGAAACAGATTTGAGGTGGACACTGTGGGCACCATCCCCACAGGGTGAGCTTCAGTTTTTGCCAGGCCAGGGCAGGTCGGTGAGTCAAGAACAGGACCATCCTTAGCCTCACAGATGCTTCTTCCAGGCTGATCGCCCCCATGATACCCAACCCCCAGCTGTTCGGAAAGCTGGTGGGACATGCCTTCGCCATCGCTGTGGTCGGGTTTGCCATTGCCATCTCACTGGGGAAGATCTTCGCTCTCAGACACGGCTACCGGGTGGACAGCAACCAGGTCTAGATGGTGTGGGACATGGAAGGGACCTCCTGCAGAGGCTCCAGCCAATTGAGGGAGGGAGCATCAGGCTGGTTATGGGGGTTGAGGGGGGAAAACAGGATGTGGGGATACAGCCCAGGCTTGCAGGCTGTGGTAGGGATGGGAGGTTGATGACACATCTGCCTGGACACAGTGGGACAGCAGCCAGCACCTCTGGCAAGCCTCCTCATACCCACACTCCTCCACCAGGAGCTGGTGGCCCTCGGCCTCAGTAACTTTGTTGGAGGCTTCTTCCAGTGCTTCCCTGTGAGCTGCTCCATGTCCCGGAGCCTGGTACAGGAGACCACCGGGGGCAACACACAGGTGGGCCATGGGTGTGGGCAGAGGGGTGTGTTTATATCTGTGTGCACCCTGCTTTGCCAGCGGTGTCACCCTGTTTGCCCCCACCCCTCAGGTTGCTGGAGCAGTCTCTTCCCTCTTTATCCTCCTCATCATCCTTAAACTGGGGGAACTCTTCCGAGAACTGCCCAAGGTGAGCCCAGCCCTCCCCACCAGGCTTCAGGGCCTTGACCAGACTAGGAGCTCCAGTCAGCCAGTCTGGTCCTGGTGAGGTGAGGGCAGGGAGACAAGGCAGTGCCCTGGTTTTGAAATCTTTGGGGTGAGACTAGAGTCCCAGGGTCAAGGGTCAGAACTTCTCAGAGTCAGATCCAAGTTGTTCAGGTTGGAGTAAATGGCAGCTGCTCTTGGCTCTGTGTGGGTGCTGGAGGTTAGTCTGGGTCATACCTGGGTGGTTGAGGTTGGCAGCATCTGGGCACCACTTGCCAGCCCTGATGACATTTCTCCTACTCCAGGCAGTTCTGGCAGCCATCATTATTGTGAACCTGAAGGGCATGTTGAAGCAATTCACTGACATATGCACCCTCTGGAAGGCAAATCGAGTAGACCTGGTGAGAGGCCTGGGACACCAGGGTGGATGGGCAGCCTTCAGCCTGATGTCCCTTCTAGACCCTTTGACCCTGGTGCTCTATTCCCAGCTTATCTGGGTGGTAACCTTTGTGGCCACCATCCTGTTAAACCTGGACCTTGGCCTGGCAGTTGCGATAGGCTTCTCCCTGCTGCTTGTGGTGGTACGAACACAGATGTGAGTCAGACCCTGCACTTCCCCCAACTCCAGCTGGTGAGGGCACAGGGGCCACACTGGCTCCCCCAGTTGTCCCCACACCTGGGGGCTGGTCCTTAGTGTGTCTTCATGGCTCCCTTTGTTTGCTTCCTCCACAGGCCCCGGTACTCTGTCCTGGGGCAGGTGCCAGACACGGACATTTACAGAGATGTGGCGGAGTACTCAGAGGTGTGTGGCAGGCACTGAGGGGAGGCTGTTGATGGGGTTCGACAGGTAGGGTGAGCCCTTGTCAGTCCCTCCACTGTAGCAAGGGCACTGGGGACTGAGGTCACTTTGACTTTTTGGTCCTTAGGATTTCAAGGTAGGAGGAGCTGGGGAGGCACAAAGAGAAAGAGACAGAGAGAGGGAGGGGGGGGGAGAGAGAGAGAGGGAGAGAGAGAGAGAGAGAGAGAGAGAGAGAGAGAGAGAGAGAGAGGAATGGGTCTGGGGAACTGAGGAGGCTCAGTCTTAGAGCCAGCAGCCCTGGATCAGGGATAGGAAGTGGCAGGGTCCTCGGGCATAAGAAGTAGGGTTGGCTGGTTCTTGATCTGGTCAGTGAGCTACTAAGTCCCCAGTTTGTTCACTTCTTGCGAAGTCTTGTGCTGAATGCTCAAACATAGGGTGGAAGCAGAGTTCTAAAATAAAATAAGCCCCTTCCTCTGGCGTAGCATTGAAAGGCTGAGCACATGATGGTTAGACAGAATGAGGGGTGGGACCAAGGGCTCCAAGGCGTGGAAGAGGATGTAAACGAAGCAGCCTGGCTGGATGAAGAGGGGCACCGCATTTCAGCAGAGTACTGGGCTATGTCCTGAGTAGTTTGAGCTGGGAAGGTTGGTTTGGGCTGACAGCTTAGAGAGGTCTTGTTGCCTATAGAAACAGACCACAGGACAGGTTGGAGATCCAACAGGAGGGTAAAACTTGCCTGGGTAGTGCCAAAGAGGAGGAGAGGTGGGAAGGGAGAGGGCCTGGGCAGGGTCTCAACAGGATGGGCAGTCAGAATGACCTAGGCTCTTGGGCCTGTGCTCCAGGCAGAGGGTGGGGGTAGCAGGTACCCGGTGCTCTTGGGAGGAGAAGCAGAAGGAGATGCAGCAGAGGGACAGGATGAAGGAGGGGACAGCTCAGCTCACCACCCCTAGCCCTTCCCATCCCCAGGCCAAGGAGATCCCCGGTGTGAAAGTCTTCCGGTCCTCAGCCACCTTGTACTTTGCCAACGCTGAGCTCTACAGTGACACATTGAAGCAGAGGGTAAGGCCAGGGTCTCCTGGAAGGTGCCCGAGGGCCCCTACCTTCCCCAGGGTGCCCAGTCCCCTCCTCTGATGTTTGCCTCTAGTGCGGGGTGGATGTTGACCGTCTTCTGGCCCAGAAGAAGAAGCGGCTGAGGAAACAGGAACGGAAGCTAAAGCAACAGCAGAAACACAAACAGGCAGGGCCCCTTTAAGCTGCTGATTCCTGGCCTTACCTCTGCCCTCTGCTCTGCTGTTGACCCCAGCTGACCTTTGCCTTACCCCCTCCCTCTTGCTCTGCTTTTCCCTGTGCCCCTGCCATGCTGCTTCCCATCAGCCTTTCTTCCAGTTTCCAGCCTCCTGACTTCTCAGCCTCACTCCTCACCCTTCCCTTTCTCCTTCAGGCCTCCAGGTGGTATTTTGTTGTTCTTGTGTCTCCTGTTCCAGGGACAGCCCGAACCATCACCATCCCCTCCATGTTTATGGCTGCTCCCAGCATCGGCCAGAACTCTGCTGCCTCAGCTTGGCTGCCCTGGGTCCCACAGCATTGGTCCTGGCCCACCTACCTGTCCAAAGTCAGGAATATAGACACCAGGCCTGCCTGGCATGTTGTCAAATGCAGCCGGGAGAACTTTTCTGTCCCCTCTTCCCCTTTCTAGGCTGCCTCTTCCAATGGCACCTCAGTTTCTATCAGTGTGGACACCAGCCTCGGAGACATCAAGGGCAGTGGTGTGGAGGACTCCAGGGTCAAGGTGAGGGTGGGGTGGAAGAGGAGGTGGCAGTAGGAGCCGCAGAGATGCGGGTGGCACACATGTCCCTAGAGGAAAGCCATGGGCCTGGTAGCCGTGGGCTCAAAGGTGTTGTGCTGACAGCAGGAGGAGACCTCTAGCGGTATGGGACTCTGCTGTGGCTCTCTTGTCTGTGATCTCAGGCTTGGATGAAGACCTAGAATTTATAGATGCCCCAGACACCCCAGTCTGTGCTCACTGGGTCTATGGGTTGCGGGGGATGCTAAGCCCAGTCAGAGATCAGATAGGATGTCTGTGACTGAGTCTGTACACATGGACACCTGGTCTATCGCTCTGTCCCTGGGCCCCACCCTTTCTACCCTGAGGATGGAACGAGGTCACCTTCCCTTCTTGTGCCTCTGTTAAGCCTGGACCCATGAAGTGACAGAGCAGTGTGTGTATGTCCATGTACGCTTTCCTACGTGTCCCTGTGCCTGTCCTTCCTGTCTTTGCATATCTACATGCCTCCCTCATGTCTGCACCTTCCTGTGTCCTCTGCCTACCCCCATATTGTGGGTGTTCCACACATGTTCTCATCTCTGACACTGTGTGTCCCTGGGAGATGTGTGTACTGCCTGCCTTTGCACCCTTTTGGGTAGCCCTTCACTGTGTCTCTGTAGGTGAGCCCAGCAAATGAACTGGAGGATGTGGTAGTCAGCAGGCAAGAAGATGCCAAGGCCCCAGATGTGTCCACGCTGAAGGCCCTGGGCCTGCCCCGGCCGGACTTCCACAGTCTCATCTTGGACCTGGGGGCCCTCTCCTTTGTGGACACTGTGTGCATCAAGAGCCTGAAGAATGTAAGTGGCTATGGGCAGGGCACCTCCCCCTGCCAAGTATCCACTCTGACCTGGTCACTGGCCCTGAGAGCCTTTTGAGTCTTCTGATCCCCCTGAACCATCAGAGGTCCCCTTAAAGTCCCTCCACCAGCCTGTCCAATTGTCCTTTGAACCCAGTCCCTTTTCTGTTGCAGATTTTCCGTGACTTTCGTGAGATAGAGGTGGAGGTGTACATTGCGGCCTGCCACAGTGCGTTGGCTGGGGACCACGGGAGCAATGTAGGAAGAGGGTGGGATCCTTTTGCCTGGAAGGTTTGCCAGGCAACACAAGGAGAAAGTGTCTCTGAAGCCAGACGTCAGAGGTGTCCTGGGAGGTAGGAGTGAAGAGTCAAGAGTGACTTGTGTCCAGGGCCGGAGATTTAGCTCAGGGGCACTGCGCCTGCCTTGTAATTGCAAAGTGCTGATTTTAATCCCTGGTACCAAAAAAAGAAAAAACCCAAAAAACAAAGAGTGACTTGTGTCCAGCTATAGCCCCAGGGGTGACAAATGTTGTACATTCTGGGGTGCCTGGGGGTTGGTGTTCCTGGTGGGCCTGGGAGTCAGAGGAGATCTCATCTGCAGGCCCTGTGGTCACCCAGCTTGAGGCTGGGTGCTTCTTTGATGCATCTATCACTAAGAAGCATCTCTTTGTCTCTGTCCATGACGCTGTGACCTTTGCCCTCCAACACTCAAGGTCTGGTCCCAACAGCCCTGTTTTGGTAAGCTGACTTCTGGCCCGCTGAGCCATTTCTTGTTAATCTGTTACATGTCCCCACTCTGACCCCACTTGCATGAAGTCCATCCCATCCACTGTGGCCCTGCTCCCAGTGAACCCATTGGTCTCTGCACCCCTACCCCACCCTGCCTTTGGATAAGGCTGTTCCTGGGGCAGGGGTTGCAACTGGAGGGAAAGGAACAAGGACAGGGATGGGATGTGTCCTTTGGAAACTGACTGGAGGCTCCCCTCTTCTCCCCACGCAGGCCACCAAACTCTGACTGTGCTGCCAGCTGCCTGACACTGCCCACCTCTGGAGGTTGTAATGGAGAACCCTTGAGAAGCCCCCAGCCCTGGGCCACCTCCAGGTGCCACCCAGGAGTCCCCTCCATGCACACACACATGTACCTCAGGGATGGACGTCCTGGGACTCCAAGTTCAGTGGTATCAGCCCTAGGCAAGGTGGCTACAGTCAGCCTGGCCTTGGCTGGGTACAGGGAGGAGCCAGTGTGTATTTTAAGGCTCAGGAATAAAGATGTGTCTGCTCATTCCAGGCTCTGCTGTGGCTGGTCCGGGCTTGGCTGGGTGTCTTGTGATCCTTAGCTCTGGCTTGTGACTCTTCTCCTAACTCAGGATAGAAAATGGGGGTAGATTTGGAGGCAGGGCCAGGCAGACCGTGGGCAGAACAGGGAAGCTGGGGACCGTCGCCAGGCTCAGGTTTCTCACCAGCCACACACAGCTCTCAGATCCTGACTGGAAGATGGTTACAATTGGAGCTGCTTCTCAGGAATCGGCTGTCCTCAGAGATACCCAGTAGGGGGCGTGGCAGGGTGGGTGGCACTGGGCAGTCCCTAGGCGTGCGGAGTGGATCCCTGGCACTCAGTTGAGGAAGAGCAGTTACTTACTGATCTGCTTTTAAAATAAGAGTGCCAGGCGTGGTGGCACTCACCTGTAATCTCAGCACTTGGGAGGCAGAGGCAGGAGGATCAAGGTGAGTTTGAGGCCAGCCTGGACTACATAATGAGACCTTGTCTGTAAATAACAAGTATGATTGATTGCCTGTTCTTATCATTAGATCACTGGGTTTGGCCAAGCACTGTCAGCCAAGATGCATGTGCTGGTTTCTGCCATAAAATGCCAACATCAGCCAGTATGCCCAGCTGATGGGGAGACATGTATGGGATGCTAGGATCTTTCTGGGCCTCTCAGTGCTCCTGGTCAGTGAGGAATGACAGCAGTACTCACCCCAGGGGCTGCTCAGTATTAAGTGAACAGACACCAGAAATGCTTAGAACAGTGCAGGGCTCAGATCACCTCCTCAGAACATGTGGGCTTTGCCGTTGTCCTGTCTGGGCAGGGCCGGGCCTGTGCTGAGTGCTGGGCTTAGTTCTGACAGGGACAAAGGCTGCCTTGGCCTCCACATCACCCAGGCACTCTTGCCTAGTCCTATTTTTATCATGGCCCATGCTGGCGCCTGGCACTGTATTTATAAAGCACTCGTGCCCCTGCCAGAACTTCAGAGCTCTTTGTCTGCCATGTCACGTTGCTTTCTGGCACTAGGAACAGGCGCTCAGTAAATATTGGTTGAATGAGACCTGGAGGCTGGAGTGAGGGACAGACCTCAAACAAGGAATCAGAGAGGCAAAAGAAAAAACCAGGGTCACTTTAGAGAGAAGGGACTCTGTTACCCAACATGGTCACAGGACAGAGGCGGTGACACTTGAATGGAAACTCCAGCTGTGAGAAAGTAACTTTCTAGGAAGGCCAGTGTGAACCTCTAGATTAACCTAGGGGCTTTGTACTAAGCTGTACCCTATACCTTTTTTTTTTTTAGACAGGTCTCTCTATGTAGTTCAGGCTGGCCTTGAAATCACTATGTAGCCCAGGCTGGCCTCGAACTGGTGGTGATCCTCCTGCCTCAGCCTCCCAAGTGTTAGGATCACAGGTGTGTGTGTGCCACCACACGTGTGGGTCTTTTTTACTTTTAAATGTTGAGATAGGGTCCTGCTAAGTTGTCCAGGCTGAGTTTGAGCCTGAGATCCTTGTACCTCAGTCTCCCAGAGCGTTGGGTTCCAGGCATGTGCCGCCTTACCTGGCCCTTTGGCTTTTTGCTGATGGTGAGGGGAGCCACCATTCTGAGTGCTGATTCTGTGAAAGGTGGCCGGAGGTGCTGGGCTGGGTGTCAGGCTGTCCAGCAGCTCAGTTGTCCTCTGCTTGATAGGCCTGGAGGGGACTGCCCTGGTGCAGAACAACAGGTCTTAGGGGTCAGGCAGAGGTGGAGGAATGAAGCATTCCTTTAGGACCTCAACCTACCATTCTGTAGGGGACAGGGGAAGGGGACGTTACCAGAACCTCTGCAGTGAGTCCTGGTCTCCTGCGAGCCACGGCAGCACACGGCGAATTACAGGAAAGGTAGAAAAATGAGACCGAGAAGAAGCTGAGCTTTGGGTCTGATCAGTGCTGCTCTGGGCAGCAAAGACAAAGCCCCCAGCTTACCACACCTTTTATTCAGTACATCGGGAGAAACAAGTGTAACAAATGACTTGCAGAGAGTTCAACAGTTCACATTGGGATAAACAAGGTGTAACGGAAGGCTTGCAGAGAGTTCAGTACATCTCCGGCAAACAAGATGTTAATCAGTCCAAGAACAATGAGGAACTGAGCAGATGTTTGTTCTCCCAGGATGTTTCTTGTCCTGGAGAATCACAGCATTACTGGATCACTGAAGTCTCAGTTGTGACCGGAGGCCAAACTGGAGTTATTCTGTAGCTGGGCTGTAGGCAAGAGAACTAGGCTAACCAAATGATTTTTCCCTAGAATTACGTAGCACTGCTCCCAACACCATTCTTCCCCAGCTCTGGAACTCAGTCCCTGATCCCCCTTTTCTGGCCAGGCCTCCTCAGGAAGGCCGTAGCCCTGGGAACCTGTGACCTCAGAGAAGGGCCTGCTCTTGGGGGAGGGGTGTTTGGTTGTTGCCAGGCACCGGGGTTCTGACCTCTGGCAGTAGCCACAGATATGCTGCAAGTATTGTCCCTACTGTTCTTGCTGGTCCTGATGGCAAAGTCTGCTCCTACCCTTGCCTGGTCACGGCCCCTCTGGTACCAGGTGAAGCTGGACTTACAGCCCTGGGGATGCGAGCCAAACAGCCTGGAGGCCTGTGGAAGCACCCTAGGCTGTCCTGGCTATTGGATAGGCCTGGAAGGGAACCGAATCTACCCCATGGCTGGGGTCATGATCACCACTACCATGATGCTAGTGATGGGTCGTCTGATGCTGCACAAGTGGCGTTCAAAGGTGACCACGGGTGGGGAGCACAGAAAGCCTGTCCTCACAGTGCCTGTCTCCACTTATGCCCATTGGGCTGTAACCTCTGCCCAGCCCTTCCTAGCAGCCTTTCTCTGGCTCTGTGGACCTCCTGCCTGACCTTTCCCTAACCTGAACGTTATTGTCCCTGAATCTGACCATAGGTCTCCATGACTACAAGCCACCCATTCTTGACCATTTCCCACAGCTGTCCTCTCCCCCTCCATTATCCCCTTTAGTATCCTGTTCTTCATCCAGCCCCATGGGCCTTGTGACTGCCCTAGCCCATGGCAAGCCCTCAGTGATTGTCACCCAAAGGCTCCCCTCCCAGCCCTTTGGCACTGCCCTGTAGCACTACACCTACTAGGTCTGTTGCTGCCCCTTGACACCCCCTCCACTGACTCTCATCTCTTTGTCCTATTCTTAGCACCCACAGGTGACCACCAGTCCCTCTGGACCCTGGAAACGGCGAATTCTGATCTCAGGCCACACTCCGCTCCTCAGGGTCCTTCACATGCTGGATGCCCTCCTGCTCTACATAGAGGGCCATCTGCAGTGCCTAGCCACCCAGAAGTGCAAATAAAGGAGACTCTCACCCCATCCGGGTGACCTAACACACATTTCTCTTTGTCTGATGGCCAGGTGCAGGGAGTAGGGTGCCCTGAGACCCTGTTCTTTCTGGGCCTGTCAGGGCCCTTTCCATGCTTGGAGCTAGTGGGCCCTTTGAGGACTTGGTGCCTGGCATTGGTGGGCAGTGGGCCTGGGCCTGCCCCTCATCCTACCAATTGCCCTTCCTTCCCCAAGGATCCCACCTGGACACACAGCCCCTTCTCTACCCCACCCAGGAGCTGGGGACCTTACCTGAGGGGGAGAAGACTGGGCCATAAGGGCAGGAATGGGAATCCAGCCAGGGCCACCAGAGGAGGTGACAACATGGTGAATTCTGTGGTGGACTGTGGGTACACTGAGGGAGAGCACAGGCTGAGCCAAGGCCATGAACTGTATTTGGTCCTCTTTCATGTTGCCAAGGGAGGCAGGGGTCATCTGTGAAGACCCTCATGTGCCCGTTGAGGGTTTTGGCCTCTCGTGTACATGTGGCATGCCAAGCAAAGGCCTGGTCCGGAGAGGAGCAGCGGGAAGTGATGAGGCTAGGAGCAGAGCCCAAAGATTCTTGATAGGGACCGAGAACCCTGGGCCCCCGTCCCTGTAAGGTGACACCCACTCTGTTTCCCCCACCTTGCCACCACCTCGCCACCACCTCAGAGGCTGATGGGGAGCTGTCCTCATGTTAGTTCTGCCACCCAAACCAGCTGGCTCTGCTTTCCTTCTGCCCCATCTTTGCCAGGCCCTCCCCGAAGAGGGTCATGCTCTGAGTCCCCAGATCCTTAACTCCTTCCCAGAACCCCACTTCCCTTTCAGCTTAGGCCCAACAGTCCCCGCATGGAGCCAGCTTCAGACATGCCCAGATGCCTGAACGGCCCTTATTCTGTGAGCCTGGAAGAGAGGGGACCTCCCCAAAGGGGCCCTCACCTCTTTCCTCCTTTCTTCCCTTCCACCACAGGTGACCCAAGTTGAGTTAGGCCCGAAGTGCATGCGTCTTTAGGACACCTGTTTTAGAACACAACGTTACAAATTAAAAAATAGAAACAGAGGTGGATTAAAATACAATGAGAATAGAGCTGGACCGTGTAGCTCAGTAGTAAGCAGGTGCTTAGCATGTGTAAGGCCTTGAGTTCTCTCCCCAGCATGCAAAAAGAAAAGGTAAAATAACAAAAGCTGGGTCCGTGGCACACACCTGAAATCCCAGCCACTCAGGAAGCTGAACCAGGAGGATTACAAGTTCATGGCCACCCCGGGCAGCTTAGCAAGGCTCCATTTGTCTCAAAACAAACCAAATACAAGAAAAGCCTGGGGATGTAGCTCAATGAAGATGTCCCCTGGGTTCAATGCCCAGTGTGGTACTGGGGAAAAAAAAGATAGGGGGAATCATATCAAAAGGGATGTAAGTTGACAAATATGACAATAGTAAATCCAGAAAAGTAACGTTTGTGTGATGTGCTGACACATTCCTGTAATCCCCCCCACACACACACACATTTTCTGGCTTCTTACTCTTATGATCCATACAGAAAATAGAGATTTTAGCCAGGCATGGTGGCACAGCCCTGTAATCCCAGCACATGGGAGCCTGAGACAAGAGGATCACTGTGTTGGAGGCCAACCTGGGCTATATAGTTCAAGGCCACCATAAACTACATAGTGAGACCCTGTCTCTCTAAAAAAAAAGATTTTATAGGGTTGGGGGGGTATTTTTCATACTGAGAATAGAAAAATAATCCAGTCAGCCGGGGATTTAGCTCAGTGGTTTCGCCACCTGCCTCACAAGTGCAAGGACCCAAGTTCAATCCCCAGTACAAAAAAAGAAAAAGAAAAAGAATCCAGTCTTTCTTTTTAAAATAGTTTATTAAAATTTGTCTTTTAATTATTGTACAATAATTATTTGATTATTGTATTATAATTTGTGTTATTAGTTTAAGAAGTTATTTTTACTTCCTCACCTGTCTTGGTAAATTGCTCAGGGTGGCCTTGAACTTGCAATCAGCCCTCCAAATAGCTGGGATTACAGGTATGCACCATCCCACTGGCTCAAATGATCTTAATTTTTCAAGTATTATGAAAATACTCGCCCCTCTGGACAAATCCTGTCAGGCTCCTCTCAGGGCCTGACAGTGAAGGGCACTGAAGGTCAAGCTTCATCAGCCTGTTGTTAGGTCCACCTCAGCACTGACTGCTGGCCCTGTATTGTGATGTGAGTATACATGAATGCACACAGTGGTAGTGGTGAAGATACTTGAAAAGACAAAGAGAGAAGTGTGTTGCCCTGATGGGCTGTGGTAGTGCAGAGCTGGGCTTCCTGCTGGGACCTGAGGGATGAGTGAGCAGAGGAGGGCAGGGAGTTTCAGTCAAGGACCAGCAGATACCAGTGCCAAGTGGGAGACACAGTGTGACCTGTTCCTGGAGCCCTGAGGTGCTCAGGATCTCAGGGCAGAGGTGTTCCAGAGAGCAGAAGGAACAGGGCGGGGCGGGGAGGGACAAGTTGGTGACTCCTAGAGAGGGTGTGGTAGGTGGAATAATAAATATATAAATAGGTCCATGTCCTGGTCCTCAGAACCTGTGAATGTGTTACCATATGTGGCAGAGGTAACTGCAGATGGAATTACGGAGAGGAATTTAAAATAGGGAGATCTTTACAGCTTATGTTGTGGGCCCAGTGTCATCCCATGAGGCCCGAGAAAGCAGAGGAGGAGGGCAGGAGCTGGTCAGAGACTCAAAGTGTGAGATGCATTTGACTTGACCCCCCACATATGGCTGAGGGTCCAAGAAATTCAGGCAGTCTCTAGAAGCAGGGACCCTCAGGTGACAGGCAGCAAAGAAACAGAAAACTCAGTCCTCCCACCACTAGGAATTGAATTCTGCCAACATCCTTAATGTTCCCTAGGATCTCTGGAAAGGGATGAAGCCCTGCCAATGCCTGGAGGTCAGCCCAGTGAGACCCATGTTGGATTTCTGGCACACAGATTGGTGAGATGATAAATCTATGCTGTTCTAAGTCACTAAGCTTGTGGTAATTGTGTGTGGGTGGGGGGGGTACTTGGGATCAAACCCACAGCCACACAATTTAGGTGAGCACTGTACCACTGCGCTATACCCTCAGCTCAGGGACAATTTGTTATTACAGTAGAAAAGTAATAGATGTGGATACCAAGAATGAAGCACTGCTACAACAAATACCAAAAATGTGGAATTGACCTTGGAATTGGGCAGTGCCTAGAGACTGCCTGATAGAAAAATATTGAGGAAGGAGCATAATAGAAAAAGTCAAGATTAAGCTGGGTGTGGTACACTCAGGGAGGCTGAGGCAGGAGGATTGCAAATTTGAGCCCTGCCTGGGCAATTTAGTGAGAACCTATTTCAAAATAAAAAATAAAAAAAGGTCTAGAGGTATAGCTCAGTGGTAGAATGCCCCTGGATTCAATCCCACAGTACTGGAAATACAAACAAACAAACAAACAAACCCCTAAATTTGCCTTCACCCAACCTTTAGGAGAAATCTGAACTTTAAGTATGGGTTGGTGAGGGCTTAGAAGGAAGTGAAGAATATTTTTGGAAGCTGGAAAAAGAAAAGAAAAGAAAAGAATCCTTGATATATAGTCACAGGAATCTTGGAGGAATTGCATCTCAGACTGAAAAGCAGAACTTGTAAATTATGAAGTTGGGTACAAAGCAGCAGAGATTCCTAAGCAAAATTTCAAAGGTACAGCCTGATTTCTTCTTGCTACTGAGGTGAAGTGTAAGGACAGGGAGATAAATTGAGGAGGAACTATCAGGCAAAATGAGACCTGGACTTGGTATTGAAAATTCTCAGCCAACTATTCAGAAAAGTCCTTTACTCTGAATTGTTAGAGTTGATGCAATTTTAATTAAGTCAGATTTTTCTTTGTGGTTGATAAAGTATTTGTAGAAATAATGTAGTAGAAAGGTGGGATCTTCCAGGATGGTGGGTTAGGAAGCTGGAGTTTGCAGAAACTACCTATAGCAATTTTTGCGAAACTTAAGATGCCTCAGTGAACATTTGTAGTGTGGAGGGGAGAGTCTGAGGAGGGAGCTGGCAGGCTTTAGGATACTTCATTATTTCCTGTCATTTCAACACTCAGGGTGAAGTGGCTTCCCTGTTGCCAGGAATTTAAAGAGACAGTACTTAAAGAAAATCTTTGCCAGATCATTGACTGTTCTCAGAGAAAATGGAACAGAAATTTTGGTGCTCACACATAGCAAAGAATATGTGCTGGAAAATAGTATGGAAGAATTACAAACAAATGGTCCCAGGTTTTAGTAAATAGAAGTCAGCAGCCCTTGAGATGTGGGGGACCTGGATTTCCAGAGGTGACACACATAATATTCATAATGCCAGTTCTTAAAATATTAATAGAAATGGAGAGAGGAAGAGAGGGAGAGGGAGAGAAAAATTCTGGAGCTAAAGAGTGAAATAATTGAAATGAAAATTTTACTAGAATGTTTAACAGCAGATTGGAACAGGCAGAAGAAAGGATCCATGAGCTGGAAGATAAGATCCAGTCTGGGATCAGTAAGAAAATCAGTGAATAAAAAGGAACTCATCTTGAAGGGAGGGGTGGGGGGACCATAAATCAGAATAATATAGGCATTGTGGGATTTCGAGGAGACAAAAGAAAAGGGAAGAAATCTGATAGAGAAGGAAGCAATCCTGTCCTCAAAGAGGAGAACGAATAAAGCTAAGTACATACTAATAGTAAGATGTCTTCAGGAAAAGCCCGGTGGGTACCCTACCACTGTCCTCAACACCATAGCTCCAATGCCAGATGCCAAGTTCCTGGTAAGGGAAGTACGCTGTGTTGTTCTTCCACTGCCTTGACTTCACTGTTGTGTCCTCCAGAGAGCACTGCAGGGCAGAAGAATGTAAGAAACTCAATCTCCAAATAGTCAGTATTTCTAGACTTTCCCACTTCTGTCATCTTGTGTGGATCAACACAGTCACAGACCCCAGTCACATTATTGCTCAGGAGATGGGATCTTTTATTTTTACTTAATTTTTATTTGTTTGTTTATTAAGACAGGCTCTCACTATGCTTGGGTCCTTGCGCTCATGAGGCAGGCAGCACAACCACTGAGCTAAATCCCCAGCCCTGGGCTCTCACTGTGTAGTCCAGGATGGCCTTGAACTCACTGTTTTTTGTTTTGTTTTTTGGTTATTTTGTTTTGTTTTTAGAGACAAGGTCTCACTATATAGTTCAGGCTAGGTTTTTTTTTTGTGGTACCAAGGATCAAACTCAGGACCTTGTGCTTGCAAGGCAGCCTCAGTGCCACTAAGCTATATCCCTGGCCCCATAGTTCAGGCTAGTTTTGAACTCACTATGTAGCCCAGGCTGGCCTTGAACTCATGATGATTCTACTGCCTCAGCCTCCTGAGTGCTGGGACTACAGGTATATGCCAGCATGCCCAGCTAGTTTTAAAAAAATGTGTTGTTTTGAGACAGGGTCTTGCTATATAGTCCAGGCTGTCCCTGAGCTCAACCATCCCCCTGCCTCACCCTCCTGAGAGCTGGCATTACAAGTGTGTGCCACCATGCCCAGCTCTATTTATGTATTTATTCACTTATTTAGTTATTTAATTTTTTTTTTGAGACAGGGTCTCACTATGTAGTTCAGGCTGGCCTTGAACTCACTGTGTAGCCCAGGTTGGCTTTGAACTCATGGCAATCCTCCTGCCTCAGTCTCCAGAGTGCTGGGATTACAGGCATGTGCCACCATGCTTGGTTTTTATTTTTTATTATTAATTAATTTACCTACTTGTTGTGGTATTGGGGATTGAATCCAGGACTTTGCACTGAGCTATATCCCCAAAATGCTGGGATTATAGGCATGTGTCACCATGCCCTGCTAGGATCATGCAATCTTAAAGAAGGCATCTGGTTCAGGGCCTTCTCCATCATTGATGATAATGGTGCCCTTCTGAAGGTCAGGGCAAATGACCTTCCTATGGCTGCTGTGTGGGTGAGGCTCTGAGACTAGTTCAGGGCTTCCAGTTCACTGACAAACCTGAGGAAATGTGCTAACACCAGGCCTGATGTCCAAAAGAACAAAAAATATTTCTCCAAGAAGCTAGTCCTAGACTGCAGTGGGTAGCCCTGAGAACAAACCTCTTTTGCACTGTTTTTCCTGCTTAAAACACAAGACCTCAGATTCAGCCAAAATGCAGTGCGGCACAGGTTAGGCCTCTCCCGTAGGGACAGAGGAGGCTGTCTGTTTTCACTGTGGTGATGATGGCTGAGCTGTGTTGTAGGGCAGGCCATAGGAGGGGTGTGATACAGAAGTTGTGGGGCACACCCCATTGTCATACTAAACTTGAATTGAGAAAACAAATAATGGCTAAATACCAAATGTGATGAAAGTTGTGAATATATATATATCCAAAAATCTGATCACAGAACTCCACACAGGATAAACTTGAAGAATTGAGACACATTAATGTCAAACTGAAATTGTCAAAACTCAAAGAAAAAAAATTGAAAGCAACAGGAAATAAGTTACTTGTTATATACTGGAATTCTAAATAAGACTAACCACTGATTTCTTTTCAGAAACTAGGT